ACTCCACATGGGCATGTGCACCCGCGCCTCGGAGCTGGCGGTGGGGGAGGGGACGGAGACAGCACAGCCTCGGTCTCTCCCCTGCTCCCAGCACGGAGGTGATGAGCCTGGCGCAGTTTAATGCATATCTTTTTCCATAAATATCATTCCTGTGGAATTCTCCTTCCTCTCTTCATCCTTCCCATCCCTCTACATGTACCTCCTGCCCTTTCTTCCCATTGATTGTTTTTTCTCTCTCTGCAAAATTTAAGAAAAGTGAATGGTCTTGTAAAACCAATGTGAGCATCATCAATTGTTTAATTAAAATTAAGTATTGGTGTGCAAGACTTTGAGTTTCTGATCATAATGGTGGTCATCATTGCTTCATATCACTGTTCCCATTTTAACTGATCCTCTGAGACTGACATACACTTAAAATATTGTCCTTCAATACAGGAAAAAAATCTTGCTGTTTGTGCAACTTTTATGATTTTTTTTTTTTTTACTATTAGATAAAAGTACATTAAATTAAAGCCAATGTACTAGCCTAGTAAATAGTCCTCTCTTTTTAAAATGTGATTTTTGAAATTGTATGCCATTTAAAGTGGAGAAACAATGATTTTGGTGTGCCTTAAGTACTATAATGTACCTCAAAAACCTAAAAATTGAATTAATTTAACTATGGAACCAAGTGTATATTTGAGAAATATACAGGACATAGAGAAAATATTAGCAGTATGTTGCATTGTTCCAAATATGTCTAAGGTAAGTATTTACTATGTCAGAACACCTCAAAGTGCCAGTACTACAATGTCGCCTTCTATATAAAATGACCTTTTTTCATCATGTCCTTACAGGGTGCTGATAAGAGTGTGAAAGGGCCAGATGGACTAACTGCCTTTGAAGCCACTGACAACCAGGCAATCAAAGCTCTTCTTCAGTGATGGATGGACTGATATCTCTAATGTCTCTCCTGTGGCCTCACACTGCTGCCTGTCTGTCACTCTTTGTATCTTCCAGCTTCTTCAGCTAAATCCTTTGGGGGGAGGGAGGGGAAGTAATGTTTATAATTTGGACTAGTTAGCCTCTATCCAAACAAATCAGAATGTTTGGACAGAGTAGAAACCTATGTAATCAGTGTTCCTCTAATTTTTTTTCTGATGCACAATCTTATTTCTCCATTTCTAGTAGAACTGAACTTTATGGAGGGGGAGAAAAAAAATATGATCTTTAACATTTTGTTATAAACCTCCTGGGTTCTAAGGTTGCTGTTGTTAAAGAACCATTGAGATGAAAATACGGTTTGTGTTCTGAAATCCTAATGGAAAAGGAGACAGTAGTCCAATACTATTAGTGTCTCCTGCCATGATATAGCTTTGTAGTAATCAAGGCAGTTGGGTTGCTTGTATCTTTTGAAGGGTAGCTTCATCCCTCTGCCTTAATATGTTGCAGTACTGAAGTTTTCTGATACTAGTTAATGGAACAGTCTTCATGTTGACTAATTGAAAGTCGCAGTGAGGTTTTTTTGTTTGTTTTTTTTTTATTGATTCTTGATTTTTTAACCAGGAAAGACCAGTTCAGGTCAGGCCTTGTTAAACTCCAAAAGGTCTGCCAAGATAAACTTGGAGTTTTCTCTCCTGTTCGTGTCTTCTAGTCCAGACCAGATTTGTTAAATTTGTAATATGTGAAGATTTTGGATGTATTTGAGAATGTCACTTGTAGTTTAATCCTTTTTAAGATGTCAGATGGAATTCTGTTGTTCACCATGTTAACATAAAAATTATATAGAGAGAGGCACCTGGTGAGAACGTCAGGCCCATCTGGTACTCGGAGATAATTTCTCTGCTACTTAATGATTCAGACTTAGATTGCTGCTGGTATTATTTAAGTATTGTCAGCAGAAGTAAATATCAATATTTCTAAACTTTTTCTACTAAAGTTTCAAAAAAAGACGTTGCATATGAAAAACTTTCTAAGTGTAAC